TTTAGTTATGTGTGCGAAGAAAAAAGGATGTTTTTGCATATGTGTATGTGCCCAGAGTATTTCTGGAAGGTTATATATGAATTGGCACCAGCAGCTGTCACTGAGAAAGGGAATAGTTAGGTGGTTATTGGGGATGGCAGGAGACTCGTTTTTCACTATACACTCTTGTTTCACGAATTTGTATCATGTGCTTGCATGCAGACATTCAATTATTCATTAATTCATACATCCAACAAATATTTATTGAGCTGTGCTGTGTGCTAGGCACTGTGCTAGGTATTGGAAACACAGCAGTGAATGAGATGACAAAGCTTCTGTCCTTGTAGAAACAATGAAAGTGAGTGAGCTATAGACAGATAATAATCACATAAGCAAATAAATATAAATATGTAATGTATTATACAGAGATACGTACTGCGGTGAAAAATAAAGCATAGTAAATTAGGAAGTGCTAATCTAGGGTGAACAGGCATCTCTGCTGCTTTGACAACAGAGAGTCCAAGAAAATGGGAATAAAGTCATGTAGATACCTGGGAGAAGGTCATAGGTGGAGGAAACTTGAAAGACAAAGGCCATGAGGTAGAAACTTGTTTGGCCTGGTTTGAAGAACAGCAAAGAGACCTGTGCGAATGTAGAGGAATGAAGTCGGGAGAGATTGAGAGGTGACAAGGTCAGAAGGGAGGGCTGCAGATGACACATTATAAACCATCATACCGACTTGCACTGAGATGTGAAGCCAGTTTGGAGAGTTTTGAGGAGAATTACTCCATGTGGCAGGATCACTCTACCGCTGTGTGGAGGATAAACCTCCACAGGTTTATGAACAGCACTACGGTGCTGTTCAGTAGTGTAATGTGACCCACTTACATAATTCTAAATTTTCTAGTAGCTGTGTTTAAAAAAGTAAAAAAGAACAGGTAAAATTAATGATGGATTTTTATTGAACCCAAGCGTTTATTGAAAACATTATACAAACATATACCAAAACATTATCGTTCAATATGTAATCAATATAAACCTTATTATTCAGACATTTTATGGCTTTTTGCACTAAGTCTTCAAAACCTGAAGTGGATATTATACACTTAGTGCACTTAATACACCTAGTGCACATCTCAATTTAGGTGCTAAATTTTCAAAGTTTGACTGTAAAATACAGGACTACCAAAACAAGTTGTGTTTAATGGGAAAATATTTGATACTGCTTTAATTTTTAAATTTAAATTAATTAGAATGAAATAAATTTAAAATTCAGGTCTTCATTCACACTAACCACATTTCAAGTGTTCGCTAGCTGTAGCTGTCTGCATAGTGATTGTTCTATTGAAGACATAGAAGTAGAGTTATGGGGCGGCATGGGCAGGAACGGGGAGATGAATCAGACACTGCAGTATTCACACAAAAGGTGATGGCTCGGACTGGAGTGGTAGCAGTGGAGTAAATGAGAAGTGGTTGTATTTAAGATATATTTTTAAAGATAGAGATAATGGGATTTATTAATGGATTGAATGTGGGATATGAGAGAAAGAAAGTAGTCAATAGTGATCTTTTGGGTCTGAACATTTGAAGAATAGGGTTCTCATTTACTGAGATGAAGAGAGAAGTGAAAGGTTTCTAGATGGGGCATGGTCGTCAGAGTTAGGTTTTAGATATGTTAAATTTGAGATACCTCTTAGCAAAATGGAGATATGAGAAGCTAGATATGTGAATCTGAAGTTCAGGAGAGAGGTTCAATTGAAGAAATATGCATGGGAGTCATCAGTGTATTTATTTTTTGAGACAGGGTCTCACTCTGTTGCCCAGGTTAGAGTGCAGTGGCATGATCATAACTCACTATAACCTTAAACTCCTGGGCTCAAGTGAGCCTCCTGCCTCAGCTTCCCAAGTAGCTGGCACTACAGGCACATGCTACCACTCCTGACTAATTTTTCATTTTTTGTAGGGACAGGATCTCACTGTGTTGCTCAGGCTGGTCTCGAACTCCTGGCCTCAAGTGATCCTCCCCCCCTCAGCCTCCCAAAGTGCTAGGATTACAGGTGTGAGCCACCATGTCTGGCCTGTTTTTTGTTTTTGAGATGAAGAAGCAGTGCATATTTGTGTGCTGATATGAATGATTCAGCAAAGAGGGAAAGATTGTAATGATGCAGGAGACTTTTTAAAAGGGACAGTAGCTGGAGAGATATAATTTAGGCAAATACATAAACTACTCGGTTTTTTAAAAAGTGCTAGTTGAGGTATCAGAAGAAGAAAAGCAAGAGAATTGTATAATCCATCATTAGCATCTTCTAATTAATATGAACTTGCCTAGGTCACTTTTTCCCATCATTTTTTTAATTAAGGTATAATTTACATATACTATAACTAATAGTTTCAGGCCTAGAGTTTTGTGAGTTTGACAAACACACACACCACCACAATCTAGGTCAGTTTTTAACCTTTTATGTAGGGCTGTAGGTTAGCTAGTCCTGTGAAGTTGGCCCTTGTACATATGGGGTATACCATTCCCTCTAATTTGAGAGATTTATAAACCCATAAAAATGTCATATTCTTTCCTATAGTAAGTTAACTAATAATTTAGTTATTATAGGAGGGTATAATAAAGGCTTGGGTGAAGAAGGTTTTTCCTAAAGCTAATTGAGACCAAAAAAAATTATTTTTTCCAGAAAATCAGTGCTGTGAAAAAAATAATTTGTACTAGAATCTTATAGACAAACCACTATTATTGACTGAATTTTAAAATTTTAATTGGATATTGTGAAGGTGATTAACTATGAGTAGAACACTCTAAAGAATTGAATGAAAGAAATCTTTGGTGTCTAGACAATTCTAGTGGAAAACAGAAAGACTCCAATTACTCAAGAAATTGAAATAAAATTTGAGCCAAAATTTTGGGCCTGTGCCAAGGTTTGGCATAAGTTTTTAGTGCTGTTTCTTAGCCACTCTCCTAGGTGATTGATCTCATTTAGTCAGTTGAGGGAATTGCCAGAACCAAAATCCAGGCAACTTTTAAACTTTTTGTTTTTTATACACTGAGTGCCAGGAATTAGCTCTGGACAGTGTCAGGCTCCTGTTGCCAAGGAGCTATGAATTAAGGCCAAGTTACTTAGGAAAAATTGTTCAGACTTGGTTTGGGCTACTTGTCTTAATCTGGCTAAAATTTTGGGTGACTAGATATTTGTAACTTATTTAAATGTGTCCTTTGGAGTTGGAAAATATATATATATATACACACACATATATATATATTTCTGTTGCTAAACTTAGTTGATTTGATGAAGGTAAGTTTTGTCTAAACACATGACTTTTATTTCTGGGTATTATAATTATTGGAATCCCAGTATAGCCCCTTTAACTGCTTTTAAAACATTTCATTTTTTTTTTTTTTTTTTTTTTTTGAGACAGAGTCTCACTTTGTTGCCCAGGCTAGAGTGAGTGCCGTGGCGTCAGCCTAGCTCATAGCAACCTCAGACTCCTGGGCTCGAGTGATCCTGCTGCCTCAGCCTCCCGGGTAGCTGGGACTACAGGCATGCGCCACCATGCCCGGCTAATTTTTTCTATACATATTATTTGGCCAATTAATTTCTTTCTATTTATAGTAGAGACGGGGTCTCGCTCTTGCTCAGGCTGGTTTTGAACTCCTGACCTTGAGCAATCCGCCCGCCTCGGCCTCCCAAGAGCTAGGATTACAGGCGTGAGCCACAGCGCCCGGCCTCATTTTTAATTATTATATAGATCTTTATCTTGTTTTAGCAGCTATGGCTGATTCATTCTCTCTGTCTTTCAGAATGGCAATAGCTTTTAAATTATAAAACAAGTACATGCCTGTTCATAAAATGTTTTTTCAAATGATAAATAGTATAAAACAAAATAAAAGCTTCCTCCATACTATTCAACAGAGCTAACCACCATTAAATTGGTTTATCTTGCAGATTTTTATAAATATGTAAATGTGCATTTTTATATAGCTTTTCAGGTAAATGTAATCATATTTTTTTTTTATAATGGGAACATATTTCTGTGGCAGTGTGTGCTTGTATTTTCAGGGACTGTATAATATTCCATAATATGTATGTACCAAAAAGTCTGTTGTTTCCTGGTATTTGCTTTTACCCACAATGCTGCAATCCTAGAATGTGTAATTGTTCTTATCTGCTTAGTTTATTAGAATATGTTTCCACTAGAGGAATGCCCATTGTTGATTGTGATGTCGTTGCAGTAGGCCAGGGAGCTTGCCACTTAGGCAACAGACGGAAGTTGAAAGAATATTTGTTGAGGTGGAAAGAGGCTTTAAAATGTGTAGAATTATTTTTAAAGCATTTATTTGAAATTTTGTGCTCTTAACATGTATTTCCTTTATTCCTCTCTAACAATAATTTAACACATTGTCAAAACCTCCAGAAAGGTTGTACAGCACTCCCCCCACCAACAGACTACATTAGCCCCTTGGGTGCAGGGAACAGTGCCATGTGTTCACTGAATTTCCATAGTGCTTACTCTTAGTACTTGACATATAATAGGTGCCAAGTAAATATTTTTAAAATGTGCCTATTCTGCCATATCCTCACAAACTCAGGGCATTGTCACACATCTTAATTTTTATCAATCTGGTGGATGGAACGTTTTCTTTTTTTAAAAAGTTAATTTTTTGATTATTAATATCAAGCATCTTTAGCCTCAGCAAGAGCAAGACCCCATCTCTACTAAAACAACAAGAAAGAAATTAGCTAGACAACTAAAAATATATATAGAAAAAATTAGCCGAGCATAGTGGTGCATGCCTGTAGTCCCAGCTACTGGGGAGGCTGAGGCAGTAGATCGATAGAGCCCAGAGTTTGAGGTTGCTGTGAGCTAGGCTGATGCCACGGCAGTCTAGCCTGGGCAACAGAGAGTCTGTCTCAAAAAAATAAATCAAAGTCAAACATCTTTTCATATGTTCAGTGGCATTTATATTTCTTTTTATGCTGAGTTTATTTTTGTATTGGAGTACTGTCTTTTTCTTACTGATTTATAAGGGGAGGTTAAGTAGATTTTTTTTTTTTTTAGAATAGTAATCTGATGACCTGTGTGTTGCATATTTGTTTACCAGTCTGATATTTGTCGTTTAAGTATATCGGGCCTTTTGCTATATAGAAAAGTTTCATTTTTAAGTAGTCATATGTGTCGGTCTTTTCACTTAAGATTTCTAAATGCTGTAACATGGTTGAAGGCCTTTCTCATTCCCAAATGATACAAATATTATTGTATTTCTTTCTTTCAAACTTTTATGGTTTTAATTTTATGTTCAAATATTTGATTTTTCTGGAATTTATATTTGTGCAAGATGAAAAATTGAAACCTAAAGTTTCTTTAATTCAAATGGATAGTCTTTTGTCCAAATATCATTTCTTAAGTAACCTTCTGTTTCCCCCATTGTTTTGAAATACTACCTTTACCATTTACAGAATTTTCATATATAAATGAAGTAACTTCTGGACTTTAATTTCTGTTTTGTCAATTTCTTTATCTGCATCTTGGTCAATACTACATTATTTCAATTACTGTAACTTTGTAATAATTTCGAAATCTGGTAGGGTAAAGTTCTCCTCTTCCCAATTATTCTTTTTTTTTCCCAAAAAAATTTCTTGGTTGTTTTTGCCTTAACTCTTCCAGATATACTTTAGAATCAATTTGTCAGATATCTTAAGTTCCTTTTGAATTTTTTTGGTATTAATTGGCATGACAGTTCTGGCTTCAATGCTTCTCTTTCTATTTTAACCACAGTCTCAATTTTTCCTTTAGTGTCAATCTGTTTCCTAACCTTAATTTATCTTTTTTTAGTGTTTCTTGCTTCACTGTTTTTTTTTTTTGGCAAGTTTTTTACCTTTGCTTCTAGATAGTGTAGCAGAGATGATCTCATCGTAAACATTCAGCACCATTAAGGTCATTTTTAAAAAGTAGCATCTGCGCGGCTTCTGCCGGAGCTGGTCCAGGTGTGGAGCCAGGCCCTGCCGGGGGCCCCGTGGGAGCTCCAGGAGCAAGGGGAGCAGGCCGGGCCCCGAACCGGTAATCTCTACTTCCCCTAGCGTTTCCTTAGGTCACCCCCAGTTCCCGGCCCTGAAATCACAAGCCTCAACTGCCCTGCTACTTCCCGGCCTGTTTTGCGTCACAAACTTGCTCCAGACCCTGAGGCAAACTGAATCGTTGCAGGAGACTGTACCAACACACAGGTGTACCAGAGGTGACAGAACTCGATCTGGGCGGGAAGGGGACAAATCCGTGAAGGGTGACGCCAGGCATTCCAGTAGTAATTGATAGAAATCTTACATGGGATAGGATTTATTCCCTCCATACTTCTGAACCAATGAACAGAAAATGGGAAGCAAAACTGAAGCAAATTGAAGAACGAGCATCTCATTATGAGAGGAAACCGTTGTCCTCAGTCTATAGACCAAGATTATCCAAGCCAGAAGAACCACCCTCCATTTGGAAACTATTTCATCGCCAAACTCAAGCTTTTAATTTTGTTAGAAGCTGTAAAGAAGACGTTCATGTATTTGCCTTGGAATGCAAAGTGGAAGATGGACAACGTATTTACCATGTAACAACCTATACTGAACTTTGGTTTTACTATAAATCCAGAAAAAATCTCTTGCACTGCTATGAAGTTATTCCTGAAAATGCTGTGTGCAAGCTTTACTTCGATTTGGAATTTAACAAACCTGCCAATCCAGGAGCTGATGGGAAAAAGATGGTTGCATTACTCATTGAGCATGTGTGTAAAGAGCTTCAAGAGTTATATAGTGTTAATTGTTCAGCTGAAGATGTTTTGAACTTGGATTCCAGCACTGATGAAAAATTTAGCCGTCATTTAATATTTCAGCTCCATGATGTGGCATTTAAAGATAACATTCATGTTGGTAATTTTGTGAGAAAAATTTTGCAACCTGCTCTTCACTTAACTGCCAACAAGGATGACAGCAGCCTTCCAGAGACAGCAGGCCAAGGGTCTCCCCACTTTCCTGAAGCACCAATAGAACAAGGAATTTCCTTAACAAAATGTCCACAGATAAGGATCGAGGAGAGAGCTGGACGTTGAATTCAGAGAAACTGGGGATGCGGGGGTCAACTGAGCAGAGCAGTGCTGAGCTTTCGTTTTTAGTTGTGAAAAACAACATGGGAGAAAAGCATCTTTTTGTGGATCTAGGAGTTTATACAAGAAATAGAAATTTTCGGCTCTACAAATCATCAAAAATAGGAAAGTGTGTGGCTTTGGAGGCTGCTGAAGATAACAGATTTTTTCCTCTACAGTCAAAATGTATTTCTGAAGAGTATCAGTATTTTCTTTCTTCTCTGATCAGCAATGTCAGATTCTCAGATACTTTAACAGTTCTTACATGTGACACACCTCAGAATAAACAAAAGGGTGTTGAATATTTTAACAGTAACAACACTTCAGTAGAGACCATGGAAGGTTTTCAGTGTTCACCCTATCCTGAAGTTGATCATTTTGTTCTTTCTTTGGTGAATAAAAATGGCATTAAAGGAGGAATTCGGCGTTGGAACTACTTTTTCCCAGAAGAATTATTGGTTTATGATATTTGTAAATATCGCTGGTGTGAAAACATTGGAAGAGCCCACAAGAGTAATAATATCATGATTCTGGTTGATCTGAAAAATGAAGTTTGGTATAAAAAATGTCATGATCCTGTATGTAAAGCAGAAAACTTCAAATCTGACTGTTTTCCACTACCTGCTGAAGTATGTATCCTGTTTCTTTTCAAAGATGAAGAGGAGTTTCCAGCAGATGAAGCAGATGAAACTAGGAACAATAAAACCAAGAATCCTCATAAACAGTCACCTAATAAGTCATCAACAGGTATATCTTCTGATGTGGACTGGGATAATGGCATTGAAGATGCTTACTTTTTAGAAGCCACTGAAGATGCTGAATTAGTTGAAGCTGCAGAGAATAGTCTTCTCAGTTACAATGGTATAGATGATGAAATTCCTGATGAACTAATTATAGAAGTATTACAAGAGTAGCTAATTAACTATGGACACTTAAATAACCAGGCTATAATTTGCCCAAAGTCTGTGAGATTTGGTAACATATTAAATTATTAACTTATTATTAAACCTGTTTATATAAAAAAAAAACAAAACTAGCATCTGAGAGCCAGACTTTTTCAGGGCCGTGTTCTTCCTTACATGGATCTATGGTGTGTTCCTCTTTTGCTTGGGTCTGAGTTTGTGGCACATTCTGTCAATTACATAGCTACTGTTGAGATAATTATTGGATTCTTAAACAGATAATAACCATATTTGGGGACTTTTGATAGTAACCTCAATCTTTAGCAATTGATAAGGTGTGCATTTTATGTTTAAAAAAATCAGTTGCACAGTTATAAGGTAGGGAAACTGTATTTGGTAATACCAGTTAGTTATTCAGTAATGTCTGAAACACAAAATAAACAAAGGACCTGATGTTTAAATTGATTTCAAACTCAGTGTAAGTTATGATTCTCCTTGAAAAAATAACAAATGTTGCAATTTTTTATATTAATTGCATTACAGATAGTTTGACATCCAGGTTAGGAAAGATAATAACTCTAATCTATGCTGATCAAATAATTTTTACAGTTTGTGCACCTGTTTTGTGCTAAGGACAAACTAGGTACTAGGATACAAAGCTGAGAGACATAGCCCACTTATAATAGAACTACAAGCAAATAATAACTGAGTTTATGGGAAGCCAGATGAGGGTTATCAAGGACCTAGACCACAGAGGCTGGAGACAGCTTTTAAGGAGAAGAGGACACACACAGCAGAAACTTTGGTGGTAGATCTGTGGGCTTCACTAGCTATGGGACCTTGCACAATTTATTTAAGCTCAGTCTCATTTTTCTTCATGTGTAAAATTGAGTTAGTAATAATCTATTTCACACTGTTGTCCTAAGCTTAATGAGATTTTATATATATATATATATATATACATACATACATATCTGGAACAGACTCTGGCACATAATAATCATGTAGAAAATGGTATGGAATACATCCACTTTGAAATGCTAATAGTTGTTGGCTCAGCGAGATGGGCCCTCCTAGCAGAAGGAAAGGTGTAGGCCAAAGCGGGTGGGTGCAATGGGGGCTTTCTGAAAGTGCAGAGTGTTTAATCTGCTTGGAGTGCAGAGTGCATGTGGAGGGAGCAGCTGAAGATGAAGCTGGGAAGGGAAGCAGTGGTGAGATCTTCAAACCAGAGCCTTTGTACCAGATTGAGGAGTCTGGGAGGCATCTAGGAAGTATTATGGAGTCTTCGAAGATCTTAATTAGGGGAGTGTCCAGAACAGTTTTGTCAGTTGAAAGACTGGTTTGTTATAGATGTGTGGAGTGGCTGAGTAAGCTATTGTAGGTAGGATGTCCAGTGAAAGCAGTGGTGCTCGGCCCTGGCTGCACCTTGGAACTGTCTGGAAAACTTTTAGCCCAAGTTCACCACAAATCCAGATATATCATCAGCTTTAGGGGTGGAACTTAGGCATTGGTATTATTACTTGCCAGGTGATTCCATTGCAGTCAGTATTGTGAACCACTGAGTTAGAGGGTAACTAACTGTATTCAAACCAGATATGATAAAGTTCTAAATTAAAGTGCCAGCGGCACAAAGGAACCAGGATAAGAAGATAACAAGGAGGATATGGTGGTCAGTTGAATGAGAAAGGAGATTAAGTGAAGATTATTTCTAGATTGGGTCACTGGGTAGATGATAATAACATACCAAGGCTCAGTTATTTATCAAGAGTGAGAACATGAAGGCAAAGCAGATTTGGGTACTAGATGCTTCTGAGTGGGCATAAAAAGGATAAAGAATTTGATTTTTAAATGTGCAATTTGAGAAAGAATGATCTATAATGCCAAATGGACAGAGAGAAACTGAAGGGAAGGAACCAATGGAATAGTTGAAAATTCAGGAGACAATAAATAATTGATGGGTGAGATTCCTAAGGAGACAGACAATGCAGAACAGATATGAAAGAAATAATTTATATGAACGTGAAGGACATTTCCATTCAGGGATAAATAAGTAAAAATATGTGAAGGTGCAGATAAATTCACAAGTTAAAGAGGATAAGATACAATTTTGCCTGATGGCCTAATTCCGTACTACAGGAGATACGGGTATCTGCTGAGAATTAAGAGATAAGAGAATTAAGGAATGTAGTCAAGCTTTGGAAGAGTAAGGACTGGGCCATCTGAGAAGGGAGTCTGAGAAGCAGATGTTATTCTAGTCCTGTTCTTAAATGTTGGTTTTCCCCAGGGTTTCAGCATTGGCCCTCTTTCACGCACTTCCTGGGTGATATCCTTTGTTATATTTTGTTACACCGTTACCTTCTGAGAGAAACATTGACAAGCTAAAGTTTGTCTAGAGGAGTTAAGTAGTTGATATTGTATGTAGTTCAGAAAATGATTAGCTGACTTTTCTTTTTGAGGGGATTTTTTTTTGTAGCACCTTCCTATGCTAATTTGAAATTTAAAGTGTTGAAAACACTGTACAGATCTCTAACATCAGTAACTGGTTGGCATAATGTTTTTGCTCTAATATTATAAAACTCCAAAGCACTACCAATTTGACATTTTGAAAATATGTTAAATTTTAATGTGAACATTTTATACTATCAAGAAATTTGAATATTTTACTTTTGATTATTCATACATTATTTGTTCTATGATGTCTGTTAAACATCTATTTCTCAACTCTTATAAACTATGATTTGCATTACATATTCTCTAATATTTTTTTCCTCCAAAAGACCAACTAAAAGTTCAGTAATTTTCAAATAGACTAGAACTATTTATTTTATGGATTTCCTATAAAATATAAATAAGATTAGTTATTCAGCAGAATTGATTGTATTCACTACAGCAAAGTAATCGTTAGTAAGAGTTTTCAGTAGGGCCTCTTAGTTACAATATACTTCTGAAGATAATTATAAATCACCACAGCACAGTGAGTTGAACTGAGGATGTATACAGATAGAAGGTCGCCTTGATATTGCACAACACTAACTTAATGTTTTTTTTTATCATTTCAGGTAACATTTCATTTGTTGCATTTCCAGTTTCCAGCACCAACTCACCAACAAAGATTTTACCAAAAACCTTAGGACCAATAAATGTGAATGTTGGACCCCAAATGGTAAGAAAATCATCAAATCTTAGAATTGATACTGGGCAAGACTAATTTAAAGAATAATTGTACAAAAGATGTTTGATCAAATATTCCAATTAATTTCAGTTATCTCAATCACTTTTTTAAAAAAGTTAAGCTTTTACCTGAATGTAACTAAGTCTTAAGAAAAAGAAAGGCATCATGTTTTTTAATGTTCAATTTTTATGTGTTTGAATCTGCATTCTGGATGTATAATGTGAAGGTTTTTGCTATGTGAGGCTTCTCTTGTATTTGGTTTAAACTGCTTTGAAATCTATTATGCTTTTATGTTGTCCTCCTTTTTTCTTTTCCTTATAACATAAACTTGATTGCCCTCAATTATGTATAAATTGGATTCATATAAATTGAATGTATAACCTAACAGTTAATCTGTATCTGGAATTTATTAATTTAAAACTTTTCATTAAAGGACATTTGGGGAAAAAAACAATATACTAATTTATTTTAATTTCTGTCAATAGAAATAATGAATGAAAATGGAAAATATTTAACAGTTTCTCTAAAGGCTCTCCTTAATTATGCTAGAGCTTGAAGTGCATAGCACTTTCAGAAAGGCTTATTTATAAAGAAGATTGTATTTGACTACTCTAAAACTATACCTAATTTAAATGGCCTCACCCACTGTTAGCAAAAATACTTAAACATTTAAACAGTAACTTTGCATTGTTAGTGTTTACATCTTCTCATCTATAGAGATTAAGTATAAATTTTGCCCATAATGTACAGCACTGTGGACCATGTTTAGACAAAAATATTTTTTAGCATACTTAATGGTTTCAGAAAGTCTTTAAGACACATTCTAAACATGACATTTTCTTTGGTCAGTTGAGGACTATTAGTCATCTGCAGAATTCAGGCTAAAGATACAACATAATTTACTGGTAAAGTATGTTAAGAATGTAATCTAGCTCCAAACCTCATAGAGACTTAAGCTCAAATAAATGTTCCCTTTTCAAGGTAGCCCAGGGTATATTTTCAAACATTTGCTAAGCATTTGCCCCTCCCCAGCCACTACAGTAGAGGCAAATGAGATAAGGAACCTTACTTTAAAGTCTGTATTTTGAAATGTGATTATATAAGCACCAAAATTAAACATACTCAAACTTTTATGAGTCTGGCCTTCACAGCACTCCTCTATTTCGAGAGACTATTTTTTCTTGGTATTTTAGTTGATGCTGCTATGGCTCAAATTTGAATTCCTGTTTTAGAAATTTATATAATTTTTCTCCCCATTGCCAGTTTGAACTGATGCACATGTAATCCCTTACACAGTTCAGTTCTGACAACAATCAGTAGTCATGTGTAGTACTAACCCAGTTAATGTAAATCTCAGGATCAGCATAACAAAGGTCAGAAGAAGAGGACATTTGAGGCTCTCCTTTAAACTGGACCAGCCCAATGCCTTAATTTATCTCCCTATTTCTGAGGTGCCTTTTTTCAGTTCTGAGTTCTTGGGCAGGAATCAGAATTTTCTTTTTGGTTTCTTAATTATTGTAGAACCCTATTGCTGTGGTCTGAATATGTCCCTTCAGAATTCATGTTGAAGCATAACCCCCCTTGTGGTGATACTAAGAGGTGGGGCCTTTTAGGAAGTGGTCAAGTCCTGAGGGCTTTGCTGTCAAGAGTGGGATCAGTGAATTTATAAAACAGGTTGAAGGGAGTTCTCAGTCACTCTTCTGCCATGTGAGGACACTGTAAGAAGGTGCCATTTATAAAGCAGAGAGTGAGCCTTCACCAGACACTGAATCTGCTGGTCCCTTGATCTTGGTCTTCCTAGCCTCCAGACCTGTTGAAATAAATTTCTATTACTTATAAATTACCTAGCCCAAGGTATTTTATTATAGCAGACTAAGACAAAAATTGGTATCGAAAAGTGGGGTGCTGCTATAGCAAACACATAAAATTGTGAAAACACCTTGAAACTGGGTAATGGGCAGAAGCTGGAAGAATTTGGAGGAACAGGCTAGAAAAACTGTTATGTTACCATGAAGGGACCATAAATGGTGATTCTGGTGAGGGATCAGACGAGGAGAGCTGTAGACGAAGCCTGAATCTTCCTAAAGATTATTAAGTGGACATGATCAGAATGCTGGTACAGATATGGATGGTAAAGACTATTCTGATGAGGTCTCCAGCAGAAGTGAGGAACATGTTACTGGAGACTGGAGGAAAGGCCATCCTTGTTACAAAATGGCAAACAACTTGCCTGAATTGGGTTCATGTCCTAGTGTTTTGTGAAAGGAGGGACTTAGAAGCCATAAAATATAGTGTATTTGGTAGCATTCTCCAAGGAAAGTGTTGAGGGTGCAACATGGCTTCTCTTGACTGCATTTAGTAAAATGTGAAAAGAGAGAAATGAATTAAAGATAAAATTTATAATCAAAACGGAAGCAGAGGCCCAGGGAAGTGGCTCACACCTATAAACCAAGCACTTTGAACCTAGCTAGTAGCACTTAGGGAGGTGGAGAAGGGAGGATTGCTTGAGGTCAATGAGTTGGAAACCAAGACCCCATCTCTACAAAAAAATTAAAAAATTAGCTGGGTGTGGTAGTGTGTGCCTGTAGGGAAGTTGAATCAGGAGAATCATTTGAGGTTACAGTGAACTATGATGATGCCACTGTACTCCAGCCTGCGCCAACAGAACCAGACCCTGTCTCAAAAAAACAAACAAAAAAAAAAAAACCAAAACGGAAGTAACACTTAAAGATTTGGAAAATTCTTAGCTTGGCCATGTAAAGAATGAAAAAGCGGCCAAGTGCAATGGCTCATGCCTATAATCATAGCACTCTGGGAGGCTGAGGCGGGAGGATTGCTTGAGCTCAGGAGTTCTAGACCAGCCTGAGCAAGAGTGAGACCCCATCTCTACTAAAAATAGAAAAAATTACCTGGGTGTAGTGGCACGCGCCTGTACTACTGGGGAGGCTGAGACAGGAGGATCACTTGAGCCCAGGAGTTTGAGGTTGCTGTGAGCTAGACTGATGACACTGCACTCTCGCCTTGGTGACAGAGCAAGACTGTCTCAAAAAAAAAAAAAAAAGAATGAAAAAGTACATTCTGGAGAGAACATCGAGGGTGTGGCCAGGTGACCTTTTGATAAGGAGATTTGTATGTATGTATGGAATCCTGGTGCTATTTATCAAAACAATGGAAGAATGAACCTGAAGGCATTTTTCAGTGCTGCTCCTTTCATCACAGGACCAGTGACTATGCTTGGGAGACTGAACTATGTCAATACTGTTGGGCTTTGGGTGGTTATGGATCTTGTCTGCCTAGCACTGCCTCAAGTCTCTGCTCCCTGAATTCTAGCACACAGTACTCCTCGCCATTCCAAGTGTGGCGCCAGCTGCTCTTTCAGAGGGCACAGGCAGTGAACACTGGCTGTGTCCACGTGGTGTCATCTCCACCAGGGAGCACAGTGCACGAGCTGCGGGAGCATAGCTACTCCTACCTTGATTTCAGAGGGTACCCTAGAGAGCCCTGGGGTCCATGCAGAGAACTGCTGTAGGGACAGGGCCACCATAGGGAGCCCCAACTGAGACAATTGCTAATGGAGCCATGGGGGTAGGGCTACCCCCTGAGGCCTCAGAATGCTAGAGCTACCAGCATGTGACTCCAGCCTGGGAGAGCCACATGAGGAAGACTCCAACCTGTGTGAACTGTAGCTTGCGCTGCCCCTAACAAAGCTGTATCTGATTTAGATGATACTCTGGACTTTATTGATGCTGGAATGTGTTAAGACTTATAGGCTGTTGGAATGGAGTGAATGTATTTTGCATGTGAAACAGACATAAATTTGGGGGAGGGGGCAGGGGCTTAATGCTAATACTTACTCTGAATATGTCCTTCCAGAATTCATGTTGATACCTAATCCCCAATGGGCGATATTAGGAAGTGAGGCTGCTGGGTTCTTGCCTGTAATCCCAGCTACTTGGGAGGCCAGGGCAGGAGGATCACTCAACCCAGGAGTAGGCAACATAGGGAGACTTTGTCTCCAAAAAGAAAAAAAGAGATGGGGCCTTTGGGCCTTTGTGGAAGTGGTTAAGTGATGAGGATTTCAACCTCATGAATAGGATTAGTGCCCTTATAAAAGAGGTTGAAGGTGGCTCTCCAGTCCCTTTCTGTCATATTAGGATGCAGCAAGAAGGCACCATCTCTGAAGCAGAGAACAAGCCCTCAACAGGCACTGAATCTGCTGGTGCCTTGATTTTGGGCTTACCAGTAGCCTCCAGAACAGTGAGCAATAAGTTTCTGCTGCTTATGGATTGCTCTAAGATATTTTGTTATCGTAGCCTGAATGGACTATGATACCCAGTTAAAGCCATTTCTTGCTTTTCCACTCCTCCTTTGAAGATTGTCCCCCTTACGTTCAATCTCTCATCCATGATTTTTAGAAGTTTTTGTTAGAGAATTTTAGAAAATTCTTGGATAAAAATCTCACCTATCTGTTTCTTACAGTCTTCTTTTTCTGCTGACACTTTGAAATTTAAATGTCTCTTAGAAGCCAAATCTTCATGGTAGATAGAAATTTCAAGAGGCCTCATGAAAAAGTTTTCATTTATTTTCTGTGGTTATAGAAACTAGTTTAGCAGTAATTGTTTTAGGGTGGGATACTTGTTCTTTTCTTACAAGCTATTTTATGGTTGTCATATGCAGATATATAGCCTATTGTTATATATGCAGTTGAACAATGCAGGGTTAGGGGCACCAAGCCCCCATGCAATTGAAAATCCATGTATAGCTTTTTTTTTTTTTTTTTTTTTTTTGTAAGAAATGTGGTAATTACAGAAAAATCAG